GGTTGCTGCTATTTGTGTTGCTACTGTGCTCGTTTTCAATCAGACTCTGAAACTGATTCAGATTCCGAGCTTGGCGCACTACAATTAAAATGATCACTGTAATTTGAAAACGACTGCGAATTGGCCCGGACCAAATTTGACGTCAATATGTGAGCTAACGATATGCTAATTAGTTGCCACTGTGGCTACCGACTGGACTTGGATCATTAATTAAGACGGGGCGCTCAGATCGTTGGATTGACGATTGCCAGTTGCCAGTTACCAGTTGCAGGTTGCAACCCAAAGTGGCAAGCAACCTACGCTACCGTTGGCCAAGTGGATAATGCCAGATAATGGCAATTTCCTGCCACACGGCCAATTGCCAAGGAGCAACATCGCTGCATCGCTTCATAGCAACACCCCAGCAACATACAGCCCCTGGCTGACCGCAGCTTAAATAAAATTACATTCAAATTCAATTGTAAATGCATTTTATCTGTTGGTTTTGCTGCAGCTCCTCGACTGCCGTTGCAGTTGCTGCTGGGGCTGTAAACTGCAATCATGTTGCACATTTTTCTTTGGCAGGCCAAGTCTATAGACGACGCTGGCCTTTTACAATCAAATGTAATTATTTTTGCAATATACACCTTCAGCTGGTGCTTCTTGTGGTGCTGTTGCATACCCCAGCACCGATGCAACCTGCAACCTGCAACAAGTTGCTTAGCATACTTCCGTTTGAGCCAGAAAAGGCCGCGCCCGGCAATCGGCAATCGGCTCTGAACTTGGCTCTATAACTCTGGCCGAGGGATCGCGTGATCAAAGTCAATTTAGCTGCGATATACAGACACATTTGTTTTGCAGCACCACCACCACCAACTTCTGTTGCACGTTGCACGTAGGCCAGCCCAACGATCCTGTCGTCGTCTGCTGCTGTGGCTGCTGGTGCTGGTGCTGCAGTTAAATTAAACCATTGCCGCCTTATCGTGGCCAACTAACTGAGGCGCCTAAAAGGGCCCAAAAGGAATTGGCAAGACTGGCTAGCCGAGAGGGGAAACTGGTTTTTGCATACTGCAGCCTGGTCACACTTCCTCTTTGCGGGGTTCTTCGAGCTCTTTTACATATTTTCTATTCTCGGCTTTGGCAAATGTTTATCATAATTAGCCACACGATTTGCTGCTTAATTGCTGCATTAACATAAATAGCAGAAAAGAGCTAAAAACGAAAATGAAACTAAAAACTTAAAAAAAAACTAAAGAACTAAAGTCAAAAATCGCCAAGAGCGAAAAGTCTTTCGGAAACAGAGATAAAAAAAAATGGTTTCTTTTAGCCAAACCATACCAAAGTATGGTAAACCCATAGATCCCTTGGCTCATTTCATGCTAATTATATATGGCCGGGCCAAAATGAATGGCTGGAACGCCCGCCATTTTAGACTATAGACTATGGACTAGAGAAGCGCTTCCACTTCATTTGGAGTCGTTGTCGGAGTCGGAAATTATTTAATTTTAACCTCTGGGGGCCAGCAATCATCATTAAGCACGAGCTTCGAATGCCGCGTATTTGTTTTTTTTCCATTTTTTTTGGCTGTAGCAGGTGGAGGGAATGGAGGGGTTTTTTGGGGTAAAAGGTTTTGGGTCAGCGCCAAGGGGGTAAACCTTCGAGACCGCCCACTCCACCTTCGGTCCGTTTATCAGCCAAAAGCGATCTTTGCAATTAGCCTTAAACGCTCAAGCTTGAAAAGAAACCCAAACGCAAGCCCTCAACTGGGTCACAGGTTTCATCCTCCTCGTCACATTATCAGAACGAAATTATCGTATATCAACCTTCGGCTGGGTGCCTCCAAGAACTGCTGCCTCCCTGCAGATATCCCCGCTGCATATTTATTTTTAATCATCTTTGTGAAAGCAGGTGAAATTTTTGGCATTTATGAAAGTGCAGCAGCGTGACTCGATTCGATGTTCCCAGTTTTTGGTTTTCAGTTTGGTTTCATATAAAAAAAATTAATATAGATTGCAAGTGGGATACGCAGCAGCAGCAACAAGTTGAAAGTTACTTAAAGGCTTTTGCGGCACAACATTTTCCCGTTTCTGTTGTTTTCGTTTCGTTAAATTTATTATGCCAAAGGCCGATCATTATCGGGTAGCCAAATTATATATGCGCGCGCGCACATGATGCGCATTAAGGGTTCCCACATCGGCACCGATGGGGATCGGACTTGGGATCGGGATCGGGATCGGGATCAGGATCCAGTAATGGAGATCCTTTCTGGTCAGCACTTTGTCGTGTCTGCTTGGTTGTAAGCCAGGTTAACCACAACAGGCACTGCTGGGGCCAAAACTATAAAATGTCGCAGACTATAAATCCACCAGGGGCAATAAATTTCTCAAAATGTCAGCGCAGGCTCCCGCATTAATTACAGACTCTCCGTTCTCCATTCGATGTTGCTGCTGGGATATTGGATTGCTGTCTGGCTGCCAAGCAGCAACATCGGGATTGTTGCTGCTCGCACGCCAGCAACACCCGCATCTGTGGCACAGCTTCGCCTCACCTTGCCCCAACCAGTCCCGCGTAATGTGAGCTGTTCGATGCTTGTAATCAATAGTTGTAACCACCGAAAGTGCACCACTGCACCACCGTCAATATCATAGTGCCATAGCCTTTTCTATATATCCATGACTTTAGCTTGTTTCCCCTCCTGACCGCAAAAGCAAATGCATAGCATTCAATTTTTGCCCCGTTGACTGCAACAAGTTCTTTCAATTTACGTTGCCAGGTGGAGTCCACACCAAATGCAACAACAACTAAAATAATAATAATAGCAACAACTACAACTACATAGTACAATTGGCAAGTTGCGCGTGTTTTGGTTCGCATTTTGATTGCCTACAAGCCGTTGCTGTCACTTTGCATTATCCAAGTCTGCAAGTCCCGAGACGAGGGTTTTTAAATGGGGGTGTTTGGGTCTCAAAGGGGGCTAGAGTGGGGGCTTTGGGGTGGGAGTAAGGTCGCAAGGTCTTTCGATTAGAGCTTTGAAAGCAAACTAGCAATGCTCTAAAAAGTCTATAAATTTAGTTTCTTCTAATATACTCTCTTGGGATGACATTATCCTTCTTTGACTAGCTTTTCCCCACCTTACAAGCCAGCTGCACCACAGGGTGCCTTCCACCTGTTATTCTCTCTCAAAAAAAAGGCAATTAATTTTCTTTGGCTTTAAGTTTTCTTACTGGTTTTCAGAGAGACTTCGAGACTCGACACGATTAAAGCGCAATTATGCTGTGTTTGATATGCTAATTCCGGAGTGGATCGCTTGAAAGAACTCACAATTATGCTGTGAAAATTGGACAACGGACGAGGGACAATCGGATGGCTTGACCATCCGAATTGCTGGCTAATTTATGCAGCTCGTGTGGCTTTTGGATGCCACAGAGATCGTTTGATCGATGGCTCGACTCATCACCGGCAGGTGTTAATTGATTTCATTCGCCTGTAATTTGACTCGTTTGTTTATGGCCCGTGTGAGTATTTACCGTTTTCGTTAACCCAAAGTTAAAGATCCGTTCCCGTTTGGCCAACTCAATTATGGAGATATTGTCGATGGGTCGATGGATGCTTTCGATTCGATGGCTTGTGACAAATATAGTTTGCACAAATAAGACCAAAAACCGAAAACTGAAAACCGAAAACCGCGGACCAAAAGTTGTTCAATGGGCGCACGAATGAATGGAACTGCGCCTCCGCGGGTTGCTGCTGAGGCTTTTCTCTTGGCTTTTTGTTAATTAAGCTGTATTTCATGCAGCTGACGGATTTATGAATAAAGCGCCACCACCGACCAGACTAAAAATCAAAAACTGAAAAACGCGCCAAAAAAATCGACAAAAGCCAGCAAAAAAAAATATAATAAAAAGTTTAAAAATATAATCGACTTGAAAAAAATTGCGTCTAGAAAAAATCAAGTCAAATGTGATGACATCGAGTAGAACTGAAAATTGTGGGGCGTGTCGAAAGAAATCTTGCCAGTTGATGGCATTTCTTTAGCCATTATCGTGGAACATGGGTACATGGGTACATGTGTATGAAACGATATTCTGGCCTTAATCGCCACTGGCCGAGTCGCGAATCGCAATTGCAATCGCAAAGGTCGCGTCTGCTGGCCAATTGAGTTGTTGTTGCTGCCACCGATGTTGCAGTTGTCGTTGTTGACGTCATGTTAATTTTTTGTGTTTGCCAACAAATGCCGATTTTTATGGTCAGCCTGCCAGCTTTAGGGGGCAGCCTTGCCACTTGCCTCCCCCCTGCCTCACTCCCACTGACTCGCTACTCGCGACTGTCGCGAGCAATTAATCTTCAAAAGTGGCCAGGTCCAGCTGCCTTTATTTTGTACGTATTTTTTATTTATTTATATATTTATTTTTATTTTTTTGCTCAACTCGTGTACGAGACGAGACTTGGCAATATGTCCAGAGTGCTCAGCTTCACTCGGTTTCAATGGCAGTTGGGGATTCCTTAGGCGGAGAAGGAGAAGATCGTGGCAGAGACGCCTACGCCAGGGGTGCACCTTCCAAAAATAAGCACAAACTTTTTATATCCCTATATTTGATTTAAAAGAATTTTTAGCTTATTAATCGGTTCTAAATAATCGATATTGTTGGGCTAAATAATCGATAGTACGTCAAGCTTTAAGATGCCATCTCCAATAAGGTGAAAATCCAGCAAGACACCAGTTTTTTTTTTGGCATAGCTGGACAACCGCATATGATCGATCCGAATGGGATCTGCCACGGCCACCCCTCCTGCCACTTCCCTCCCTCTCACCGGCACCACCCCCCTGAGCCGTCCTCGTCGCACGCATTAAATTCAAAATGCGTTTCAGCTTTTTTGTGAAGGTTGCCTGGCCAGGTGGAGAGCCGATTCGCAAAGCGACTTCGAGCCGGGCCAGGGTTGTCATTCACAGCCAAAACAACAAAAAAAAAGCCTATAAACTTGGGCAGCAGCTGCTGGGGCTGCTTTTTGGGGCAACTTACCTCTTTGAATTAGATTGCGGCCGACTCCAATCGTTGCAGATCTGGCATAGTCTGGAAAAAAAGGAAGAGAAGAGTTGGTTAGAGATTGCAGATTTTGGCCAAGACGATGATGATGATGCTGGTATGACAAATTGTGGCCAGCCAGTTGGCGGAGCTGATTTTTCAGCTACTAATTGCTGCGGTAATTAAAGCAGAACACAGCCTGGCTGGGAGATCATTAATCAAGCTGCAAATAGTTGGCAGGTTGGACAAAACTCTCCGATCTCGGATCTTGGATCTTGGCTTTTGGATCTCGACTCTAGTAGTAGGCTCATAAATATTTAATGGCCTAGGCAAATGGCTAATACAAACACGATCAGCTGGCCGGCCGATCGAATTGAGCTCGTTCTCAGACTGCTTGGCGATTTAATGAAAATTTTGAACCAACCCAGCCCAGGCCAGCCTCTCTCCACGGACTTACTTCCCCCGAGACATTGATTGATTGAAGTGTTTTAATATTAGTTACAAAATTACCCAGCCGAAAAAAAGAGGTATCCACCCACCAAATGTCTGGCAAATTAAGGGGGCGTGTCCGCAAAACGGTGGCCAAACATTAAGGGTATATATGGGGTTTCTTTTTTTAGTTTTTGGCTAGAAAGAGATATCAAAGTTAAAGGAAGCCGACTGATTGATGGGGGAAACGTTTAGAATCACCTTCAATAAATTATAATTTTTTTTTTGCTCATTAATACAGTAGCAAAAAAAAGTGAACAAAACTGCTGCGATAAAGGCAAACAAATGTCAAGTTGCAATTGTGGTTGCTGCCTTTTTGGGATTAAAACAATTGCTGCTATTATTTGCTAATTATTTAAACAATTTACAACGAGAATTGTCAACCTGATTAGCATTAAGAGGAGGGGATGGGGGTGTGGGGGCTATATACAATATAGGAGTGCGGGTGCTTTGTTTTGGCTACTAATTGGCATGTTGCTGGCGTAGCTGCGACATGTTGCTCGTTGCTGGCGGGTGCAATTGAATCGATTGCCACCTGTTGCAATTAGGCATGCAACATGGCATGTTGCGGTTGCATGTGGCATATGACCAGCAGCAATGTGACCAGTTTCTGTGTTCAATATTCCTGTGCAGCTGTGCGACCTTAACAAATATGCAGCCAAAAAAACAACCGAAACATTTTAAACAAAACTTGTTCCTATACCGCAAATAGTATCTGTATCTGTAGCTGTGTATCTGTATCTGTGCTGAAGGCTTTTCACAGCTGCGCAGCTGTGGCTGTTAGCTGGTAGCTAGTAGCTGTAAGCTGTAAGCTGGAAACTGATAAACTCTGGCTCCCCTTATCGCACCCCCACAACCAAAACAACCATCGATCGACTCTCCAGCAAAGCAGAAGCCGCTCCCATCCATTCCGCTTATCTCATGAACCTTGGCCCCTCAATCTTTGAATCTCTGTGCGTGAACTGAACTGGACCAAAGCACTCAAAATCTTTGTCTTGAATACTACTATTCGACAACGCCTACTCAAAAAAAAAAATCAAAACCCAGCCCCAGATAAACATCGTTTTGTGTGCGTTATTGAAATTCGAATTTCAAATGAGCCACGCAACAGGGAAAATCTATTTCAGTTGTGGGAATATTTTTTTAGTTTTTATTTTTTGAGGTTTTCTTGGGTTTTTGGGTTATGGCATGCATATGGCATATCGTTGCATATCTGAAAACCGTTTGACTTTTGCAGTTAAACTTTCAAATGCAATTAGTTGCGGGCATAAATTACATAGAACTGACCAGTGACCACCGAAAGAGCTGCTATTAAAATGATTGCCGGCGAAATAGAAGTGGAGTGGACACCCTGCGAGGGAGGTATGCAATGCAACGAAAACTACACCTACTACAATCAACGAGGCGTGCATGCAACGTAGAAATTGCTGCCTGGCAGCCACTGAAATAGCAACAGCAGCACCGGCAGCAGCAACTACTGCAAAATTAGCAGCGCGTGCTAAACAATTGCTCGAGGCAACTTCAGTAGCAGCAACTGCAACAGCAACAATTGCTCCAACAATACACACACCCACACTCCTTCACATACATACACTATGCATATTGTTTTACCAGCAATATGGCGTCGCGCACACACCAGCAACATCAACTAGCAACCAGTAATTGCAACAATTTAACGGTCTGTCGCTTGGCTCAGCGCTTAAGTGTACTTTGGTTGCAGAGTCTCAGTGTCTGCCTCCCTCCCTGCCTCATCTCGTACCATCTCACTTTTTTATCTCACTTTTTTGGCTGCCTACAACTTAATCAAAAACTAATTGCATTTGCATAGAGATGCAGCGATGTTGCCTGCCTCCTGTTGCTAGTACTGGTGGTGGTGCTGTTGCTGCCACTGCTGCGTAGGCAACGCCACGGATGTGGTTTTCAACGCTTGGCTGTGTCAACTTTCAATCAAAGTCAACAAAAAAGGAGGCACACTGTGGTTTACTTTAGCCAAGCCCAAGTCAGCTTCCTGGCAGCAGAAGCTTACAAAAAAATAAATAAGAAACCACAAGGCACTGCAACAGCAACTTGCAACTTGCAACTAGCGGGTGCTGCTGCTGCTGGCCATCTCAGGTGGTCAGGCTGCTCAACCGTGGGAGCCGCAGCGTAAAGAGTAAATTAAAAACACACACATAAAGATACAGATACAGTGTATCCCTCGGATACCTGCGCATACGCAGCTCACATTCTAATTTATAAGTCGGACGCCCGCGCAGGCGTACGCATTTCTTTCGAGTACGAGTATTTCTACATTTCTGCACGAAAGCCAAAGGCTGGACAGGATTTCAGACTGCAGACTGGGCTCAGCAGACTGCAGACTGAAGCCTGCAGACTGGAGACTGCAGACTGCAGACTGCGACTGATGGATCACCGTAGATAAGCGAATCTTGCAGATAATCGCATCACTCACTGAGAGTCTCGGCCGAGTCTCCTGGAGTCTGTTCCTCTGGCAGGTTGAAGCCCCGCTGGAGAGACATGCAATAATTTCCAAACAGCCAGAAGACTCCAAAAAACAACAACAACAACAACAGCTCCGCCAAGATGATGATGCATGACAGTGACAGTGTGTTGTTGTTGCTGCCGATGCTGCTGATGCTGATGCTGGTGCTGGTGCTGCTTGTGTTGCATGACATTAAGCATGTTGCAAACAGACGCTGCCTCGCCAAACTGACAATGAATCCTGCTGCAGCGAATTGTGGGTGCTTCGGAAATTAGCCACAACGTGGTAGAGGGGCACAAAAATTGAAAAGCACTGCAAGAAAAATATTAAAGACTTTGGCAGACATTCTTAACAAAAATAAAAATCAAAAGCTTCTTTAAAGTAGTCTTTCTGATTATAGTTCTTGTGATAATAAATTATATATCTTAAATATTTTAAGAAGAATTTATTTTCTCTGCATTCGAAAACCTATTTTCATGCTTCATCCACGGCTTGGAAGGCAAAAACTAAGTTAAATGCAAAAAAGGTATCTTTACAAGCGCAACGAAAGCTAAAAAGAATTACAACTTCTATGGTATTCCCTGGACTTTCTTAGACCAGAGTGAAGAGAACCAAAATCAATTAAAATTCATAGCTCTCATGAAGCACTCTAAGATCGACAGCTCGAGCTGCCCCATTTGATTTTGGATATTTATTTTTTTTTTGGGAGGGCAACTTGTGACTGAAAATGAAGCTGGCGCCAGTCGAGTTGAACTGATAAAAATCACGCCGATGCAACATCAACAGAAAGCTGGGCTTCTACCTGGTTTATCTTTTACTTTACTTATATTTTGGGGGGAGTGGGGGGAACAGAAAGAGAATGGAGAACGGTAGAAGGGTTTAAGGTCTAGCCACCGACGCAGTTGCAGGGGCAACGTCAACGGGGCCTCATCATTATCATCATTAAAATGTCAGTTAATAATTTCTACCTACCTCAAAAGTACACCCCCCACTTGCTCCCCATGATCACCATGATCCCCACGACGTTGCCTCGTCCATTTTCGAGTGGTTTACAACATTCGGAGGGCTGGCAGTGGTTGAGTGGAGACGTTTTCTGGTGTTTTTCTTGGCTACCTGGTCGAGTGGTTTTGCGGTGCGTTGGAGTCTGTGGGTGGCCCAAACAGCACACCACCTCCCTCCTCCTGCCATCACTGGCCTCTTTAATGGTGACCTTATTTAATGGCTACACAAAAAAAAAAACAATTTCAACAAAGATCCTGATCAAGTTCGTTGCTTGAGTCTTTTGTTTTTGATGGCCGATGCGGGGAAATGTGAAAAATGCTCAAATTGCAGTGAGCTATATCAACAATAAGCTAGCAGGTTGTTGGAGTGGCTGCTGCTGTGGCCGCTTCTGCTGCGAGTTGCAAGTTGCAAGTTGCTGTTGCACCTGCAGACAATTGCTAATAATTATTTATGCGGCCCAGGGGCTAGAGCAGCGGCAGAGGTACCTCTCTGGTGAGCGTTGAAGCTGCCACTTGGCATTGGCTACTGTGCCACTCGTACCCGCCTACCCCCTCTTGCCTTTGCTACTCCCCCCCTTGCTGGCTCATCAGGCAGTTAATGACCAGTCGACGTGGTCATCGCCATCCTCTGGCAAATCCATAATTATGCCCCCAGATAGACTCGGCGCACAAACACAGACAAGGCCTTGGTATTTTGTGCCTCCATTGGTGTTTTGGTGGGTGGAGTCACGCCTCCCCATCACTCCACCAGCCCCGCCACTCCCCTCTACGACTCACCTCCTAGTTTTAATTTAATAATATTTTGTTACTTTATAGGCCGAAGCGACAAGCTTGTTTACAAGCTCCAAACATGCAACAACTTTAATAGTTGTTGGCCAAACAGCGAAACAAACGCAAGGAAATCAACGGAGACGTGCACCAACAGAAGGAGATAGTTGGCTGAGCTGTGAAAGAGACAGCTGGCTGGTGGGCGCTGATGGGAAGAGGGAGAGGAGCATGCTCCTTAGCATTTCAGGTTAAAGAGCTTGCAGCACAATGCGGTCGTAAGTTGTGGCATTTTGCGCACTTCCTGTCGCCTG